TTTGTACTACCATCCACAAACCAGGATAAACTTTATGCAGCCTCTAAAACTCTAAAATTCACTAGCCCAGGAGATCATATCACCCATTTGGGGAAAGACTTTTCTATATCATAAGGAGCCCTGATGGTATAGTGGTTATGCTTTGGGCTGCTAACTGTAGAATCAACAGTTGGAAACCACCATCAAGTTCACTCAGGTAAAGTGTTACAGTCTTCAGGGCTGAGGAGACAATCATCATATAACTATTATAATTATAAAGACTGAGAGAGGCTGGTAAGGATGATAAAGCAGTAAAGGGTTTGTTTATTCAAAGAAATCATTAAGTCTCTCCAGATCAGTTGCTTATAGTAAGTGCTTTTTGGAGTTGTAGTGGAGATTTCTTTAACCAATGTTGCTTTTCAGCATTCTGGGGCTTGGATACTATTTAATGTTTTCAGGATGTTGTACATGTTGTTTGTCAATCTGAAACATTTACCTTCTGATCCTTTCACCCCACATACTTGTGTATCTTCACTTATATGATATTGATTCTGTTAAAAAAAAATCTCAAAATTAGAAAGTATGACTTTCCTACTTTCAATCTCACTTAATATTATTTAGGAATCCGGATGGCATAGTGGTTTAGTGTTGGGCTGCTCACCTCTTGGTTAGCAGTTTGAAACAATAGCTCTTCCTTTGGGGGAAGAGGAGGCTTCTACTCCCGTGAACAGTTTTAGTCTAAGAAACTAACGGGATTTCTACCCATTTTGTAGGGTCACCATGAGTTGTAATTGACTTGATGACAGTGAATATGTATTTTAGTTTTATTTTAATTATTCATTGTTCTCTTTTTCTCCCATAAGCTACAAGCCTATGAAACAGAAATGTACACTACAAACTGCTTTATAAATAGTGGTCACTCAAATATTTTTTTATGTAGGAGTGATTAATTATGCTCCATTTTCTCTGTGAGTTTAATTCACACTTATCTATAAGCAGTATGTCCAGAGGAGAGGATTATGAAACTAAATTTGTTAGTTAAAGTCATGGTATAATTTACAAAAGGATAATTCATTCTCTCTCAGATAACCATGGGGATAGTGTTAACTTAGTGACTGGTGGTTTAGGCTTACTTTGGATATCAGCACCTTGCATGGCTTTATCATTCATTGAGGATTCAAATGAGCCATATTTAGGAAGCATAATGTGAGGTGTTAATTTCCCCTGATAATAATATATATTAACATGCCAGAATACACATGGTGGCCCTTCTTTGTTTACAGATCAGCTTGGGAAGTTATAGTATACTTATAAGATTTCTTGATGAGCATGGATTGAAAGGTTTAAATACCTTGGTGTAAGATAAATCATAATACTTTTAGCCCTGAATCCTTTCAGATTCAGGTTTGGCATCCCTCCTTGATATTTTCACGTTATTAAGCATGCTATAACAGAAACACCACAGGCTTTAACAAGTAGAAATGTAATTTTCTTAGTGCAGGAAGCTATCAGTCTGAATTCAGAGCACTGGCTCTAGCACGGGGCTTTCTCCCACTGTTGTCTCTGGTAGAAGATTATGATTATTTTCAGCTCCAGGTTCTTAAGAGATCTCACATAACCAGGTATCTGTTTTCCACATCTGTGCTCTCTTGTTTGATTGCTTTCTCAATCTGCTCAAAAGAGATTTATTTAATTCACACTGTACACCAATACTGCCTCAATAATATAGCAAAGAATGGGATTGTTCTCAAATGGTATTATTACCACAGTTCTAACAGGGGCTACCCAATAAACAGGTTGTTGTTTTTTTTCAATACTATGTACTTAAGTTATTTTTACAGAACAACCTTATGACCTTCAAAGTACTCTCCATTATACTTAATACATTTGTTAAATCTGCTATTCCATTCTTGCAAACCTTTTTCAAACTCCTCTGTTTGTTTGGACATCTGACAACACCTCCCTCGTTTTGTTTTTCACGTTTTCTACATCCTTTAATCGCTGTCCTTTCATGTCCCTCTTAATTCATGAAAACAAAAAGACATCACATGGAGTGAGGTCAGGTGAATAAGGTGTATGGGACAAGAGAGGCATGCTGTTTTGGTTGTTTTTTTTTTTGCCAAAAATTGGTGTACTGAGATGGCTGCATGAGCGGGTGTATTGTCATGGTGGCAAAACCAGTCTGCTGTAACATATCAGGCCTTTTTTGTCGCACACAGTTACAATATCTTTTCAAAACCTCTAAATAGAAAACTTACTTAAAAGTCTGACCTAGTGGAACGAACTCCAAATGTACTATCCCCCTCACATTAGCAGAGGTTTTTTCCATTTTGGGGAGGATACTCCCTTGTAGGTGTTAGGATTTACAACACACATTTTTAAGGAACACAATTCAATTTACAACATCTTCTAACTGTAAACAATACATTGTATTTTAATTGCCTACTGCCTATAGGTTTCAATAACCTGTAACTTTTTTGGCATAGGTGTTTTATCTTCACATCATTCTTTATAGAACTCAATGCACTGTCATCGAGCTGATGCCAACTCATAGTCACTCTATCGGACAGGGTAGAACTGCCCGTGCGACTTTCTGAGACTAACTGTATGGGACTAGAAAACCCTGTCTTTCTCCCGAGGACAGACTGGTGGTTTCGAACTGCTGATTGCATTAGCGCGCTAACTTGTTACCACTACTCCCCAGTTTAACACCACTTGTTAAACTGACATATAATGGCATTCAACCATGCTTTTTCAGCAAACGGATGAATGAATGAAGCACGACGATAAAAGAGTTCCTTTTCCTTAGAGAGTCTTTTAGCTGTATTTGTTCAATTTTAAACTCAAAGTCAATTTTCTAATCTGTCACTGGCGATTGCATTTTAGTGGGCACATTATTTTCGATCCTTGTATAGTTCTGGTTATTTTTTACTTTACTTGTAGAGTCCCAGAGCTTCTAGTTGTACATTCTAAAACCCTCATTTACATAGAGTCCATTCCAAATCATAGCAACCGTACCTAGAGTTTCCAAAACTGTAAAGGAACCTGATAGCCCCTACTTTTGCCTATGGAGTAGCTGGTGGGTTTGAATGGATGATGATCTTGCAGTCAGCAGTACAATCCCTAGTTTAAAATATGGCGGGGGTGGGTGGGATTTTTTTTTGTAAATAACTGATTGTCACAGTTAATATTGACTCATAGCAACTCCTCGTGTATCAGACTAGAATTTCTCCATAAAGTATTTAATGGATAAATTTTTGGAAGTATACTAATACCAGAAATTTCTTGTTAGGATTCTCTATGTGGACTCATTCCTCTAACCTTTTGCTTAGTAGCTAGTTGAATGTTTGTTTCTAACAACCCTGCCTCCTTAAACCAGATGTTGTCTGTTTGATAGTGAAGGAAATGTATATTGTATCCTTTTTTTTTTTACTTTAATAGAGAAGTATAGATGGAATTTATATACATTCCAAATACCCAGTGGAAGTCATCACTGGAGCTTAACAATTCTGTTATATCTTACTCTGATTAAATATCAATGTTTCATATGGTTTGGAATATTTTTATGGATTATTTAGTCTAGAAAAGACTTATTTTTGCATAATACATCAAGGTGTCAATTGCCAAGAACTGTTTGTTGGTTTGTTTGCTTATTCATTTAAGAACTACTGCATTTCTTCCTTCCCTTAATGACTTCTCGTTAATTTTTCCAAGAAATATTCTTATGTTTACATTTAGGGCTCATCCTTCATAGTTTTCCCGGCATATATAGAACAACACGATTTTAGTCCCATGAGAGTGAGTGTTTTATCCTGTGCCAATAGAATAAGAGACATAAGGGTATGGTTAATAGAGTAAGATATAAGTCAGTGATAAAATGTATATTATTCAGTATATCTTTTTGGGACAACTGTTCGGCCCTCTGCCTCAAGTCTTACATCAGAATAAAAGGACATACAAATACATCAAAGATTTAATGTGTCAAATAAAACCATGAAAATACCAATAGAAAAATAAATTATTTTTTAAATCGATATGAAATGCAGATAATTGCTTTTTAAGTATCACATAAAATAGAGAACCAACAAAGAAAATAATAAGACATTGTTATGTGAAAAATAGAAATAAACTCTACAAAGGAAAAACACCATAAAAAATAAAAAGGCTACTAATTGAGAAAAAAATGTATATCTCATATCTCAAACAATAATTGAAAAACTCCAAAAGTGCTGCCATATATACTCAAAATCTAATAGATTAGAGGGCAAAGATTAAATGATGTGAACTGAGAGTCTAGAGAAGAAAAGAATAATAAAAATCTCTTACATATATTAATTAACACACTACTCAAATTCACTTCTAATGATACTAATGCAATCTATACTTCAGTGAAATATAATTTTAAGACTATCAATAAACACAGGTTTCTCATTCAAATGCAAGATAAAAGTGTGTATTATTAATTACAGAATTGTTATAAAACCCAAACATTGCCAATAGTCATAAATTCTAGGACAGGAGATTCATTAAAATATAATGGAATGCTATTTTAAACAAAGATCAGGTAGTTATGAAAAGACATGAAACTCATATTGTAAAATAAAAATAGCAAATTACAGATTAATGCCTATTGTATATACCCATTTGTTTAAAAGACAAAACAAACAAAAATGTGTGCATGTACATGTACATACCCATGCTTTAGCATATGTATAAATTTTCCGTAGAAGGATATAAAAGAAATGGGTAGCAACTGGTGTCTTTGAGGCATGAAATTGGGTGTCTAGAAAGAATATGTGAATGGCTATTCAATATATTCCTTTTTCATGCCATTGTCTTTTTCATTGTGTTACATCTTACTGAAAGTCACAATAAACACATTTCCCTTTTGCCTTGATAACAGACTTCTCTGCTTTCAAAGTGGGATCTTTTGTTACATTTTATTCCCATCTACTATAAAATTGGGTTATTCCAAAATATGGAAGAAATTAATGTAGCTTATTGCTGACTTTATTTTCCAGGACTTTGTTAGCATTGGGATGCCATGTGGGCATATCAGATGAACATGCTGATGAAAAGGTGAAAAAAATGAAGTTACCAAAGAAGTAAGTTGAAGTCTAATCAAAGTTTCTTGGGCAGAAGTTCCACTCAACAGAAACCTTGATGCTTTTCTGACACTTAAGCTATAATATTCATAATAAAAATGTACACTTATGGAATTAAACTATGTGTGACATCAAGTCTATGGCAAGACAGCAATGTCTGCCACATTGCCTAAAGGGGAGAAAACACAATATATTGGGGTGTATGTTATAAAGAGTGCATTATTTTTCCTGTGTGTATGTATATGTCTGGATGGATACATGTGTATCCATATTCTTAACTCATTTAGTGGATTCCCCTCACTAAAAATACAAAATTGTATACTAATATTGTTTTTACAAAGAAAATATTTTTAAGGAATACTTATGAAGTGGGTATTATTACTCATATTTTAAGATGAAAAAAACAGACATATAAGTTCTACCGTGGTGTTTAGCATCCTGTGTGTGTAGTTTTTTAATAATTGTGTTGGTACTGGTTGACTAGAGAAACAAATCACTCATATGTGTATAAAAAAGAGCTTTAGCAGGCCTGTCTGGATAGGACAGGCTGGATGAACAATGTGGAGGAGAAAACAACGGGACTGACAGTTCCGGGGGGA